TTTAGTAACAACGATATTCATACAGGTTTCAATTATATACCATCAACTGAGAGTATTTAGAGTTCCAGCCTTCTGTGTTCCCCAGGCTTGCATTCAAGGAGTCAACAATGGAATTAATGATCTCCCCCGTGCCCTTTCAGAGCTCATTCATTTTCCACTGGCCTCCCAGCTCGGAACCACTTTCCAAATGCTTGTTCCAATCTGGTAACTCAGGGACTCTCCCATGCAATCATTAAGCTCTCTTAATTCAACATCCTCGGTACATTTGAGTCAGATTTGAGTCAAGAGAACCCCTCTCCTGATTGCTGGTCCCCTGGTTTGAGGTTCCACTACCACTGCACACGTGAGATCAGAAGCCTCCTAACCAAGCTGCTGCCTCCAATGTGTATGCCCTTCCTTTCAGCCCGAATGACCATTCTCAAATACAAACCGACCCTCCGAGCAGTCTCGTCTCTGTCTCTGTGCTTGACTAGGGTATGCTCCTTCTCCTACTTGGACTAGCCTCCCAGGCTCCCATGTGAAAATACCTGCATTTTAGTTTCAAACCTCTTGCTATAAATGTTCTTATACTAATTTCAACTCATCAATCACTTCATTCCTCACATCCTACACTCATGCTACAACATTTCATGTTGAGTTTGTATAATTTTTATGACATTGCCTCTTCTGACCTCTGGGATCAAACACCCCATGTTAGTTGCTGTAAATGGTTCTGTTTTTACATGTACTCATGCGCACACCCCTACACCCCACATCTCCCTTCTCTCAGTGAAATTAATAAGCAAGTTGAGAGCCAGCTCTGTAGGGTCATACATGGTGGTCTTGCAGGTTACGCTAGCAACATGTACATTGCTTTTTTGGCTTTTACTGTACAAGTACTATAAATTTTGTTTTGAGTTTTATAACTTTGTAGCATTTTAGATAATGCTGCATTTTGCTTTGTTGTGTAGAATGAAAGGACTGTATTGAATAAACCTAGGGTTAGAATGCAAAAAAATATTACATATAGTAATAATTCCCATTTATTGAGAAATATACATTATTTAAAATTTATCCCTATACCCAATACTTCATAGAGTTCTCTTTCAGCAAGTGTCAGTAAATACTTAAAAGGTGGGCACCTGGGTGGCTCAGCTGGTTAAGCGACTGCCTTCGGCTCAGGTCGTGATCCTGGAGTCCCGGGATTGAGTCCCACATCGGGCTCCCTGCTCAGCGGGGAGTCTGCTTCTCCCTCTGACCCTCCCCCTTCTCATGTGCTCTATCTCATTCTCTCTCTCAAATAAATAAATAAAATCTTTAAAATAAATAAATAAATAAATAAATACTTAAAAGGTGAATGCATGTATGATTCATATAGTTGTCAAGAGCACAGACTTTCGAAAGTAATGGATGCGAATTTAAATCTTAGCTCTAACCCAGGCAGTCTGTGTAATCCTGGCCAACGTTCTTGATTTCTCTACGGCTCACTTTCCCCCATGTCAGGAGGCTTGAAGCAGCCGGGGATACACCACCCTTGAGTAAGTGGCTCAGGCAAAGCCCAAAAAAGAGTCCCATTAACTCGGTGCAAGCAACGTGGACGCACAGGCCGGCAGGTGCACACAGTCCTCCAGGCCTTCACGAGAGGCTCACTTAACTGCCAGCATGGACAGGTATCCTGTGACCGTGACCCAGGAGAGAGACCCTGACCACTCCCCAATACCACTTCTCCTTTTTATAGGGGTTGTAGCAGAATGGCCTTGCATATCTCAAGAAAATCCGAGCTGATCTTGGATTTGGGCTACTCAGGGGAGTTGCAGACAAAATCTTGCCACTGTGTTCTTGGGCTGAGAGCACCTGCAGCTCTTCCTTCTGAGGACAAGGCGAGCTGATGGTCCCACCTATTTCTGTACCCGGCAGCCCAGAGCAAGCCACAGGGCTCATTTAGCAGACAATTCCTTTCCTCTGCTCTGACTCCTGCATAAAATGGTAATATTCATGCCCCTACTTCACTGTGTTGTTAGGACTAAATCAGAAAATGCCTAGAAACAAAATATCTGATGCATAATAACTATTTAATAAATGATAGTTACATAGAATCATGCTTTAGTAAATTCATATTCTGCAAGGCTGATACTTATGAAAAGGTGGAGAATAGAAGTGTAACCCAAGATTTAAAGTCCATTTGATCAAAGGCCCTCCCTTAAGGCACTCACACCCAACCCATCTTGAGGTTATTTTAGGTTATTTATGAGAATACTTTTCCATTGTTTATATGTTTTTCTCTTATCCAAAATTATACAAGAGAGTCCAGTCGTACCCTTTACCCATGGGTGTTTATTTTGAATTTAAAATCTCGTTGGCCCTCGGTACTGCTACTTCAGCGGCCAGTCAGTGAGAAGAGGAGGCTGATTAAATGCGTGGACAATGTGCAAGAGACAGCAACTGCAGTCGCAGGAAAAAAACTGTCCCATAGGGCTGCAGATCAAGGAAAGTGGAGGGAGATCTGAGTAACCATGGAGTGCATGGCAGAGAGAACTCAAAGGAACTTGTTCCTCAGCAGTCACGTCCATGGGGACATCATGAGTGGTGCTTTAGTTTTGGAAAAACAGGGTCAATAGTCTTGTTCAACTGAGGTTGAATTTACATCCTAGACTGAATGTGTATTAAGTGCGTATGACAGAGAAAATTGCTTAATATTTCTAAGACTCTATTAGATGGGTGATTTTTAGGATTAAGTTAGAATGCCTATAAAAACTATACCTGACAGAGAGTAAGTGCTCAAGAACTGTTAGCTATTTTTATACTACGACAAATAAATATTTTGCAAGGTGGATGCTCTAAGTAGAGAATGTAACTATAAATATGAAGCATTTGAAATCTGTTTTGCTAATTATCCATTGTGTGGCATGGGCTCTGCTAATCTCTATGATCCAAAGACAAATAAGACTGACTGTCCAGGTTCTGTGTTCCAGAATTGCAGTTTGGGGTGGGATATTTTTTTAAAGGATGATTTTATTCAAATGGATCATTGCAAAGGAGGAGCTAACACATAATAGGAGCAGCTAAACTAAACTGTTGAAGCCAAGAGATTAAGTGGGCAGACAGTGAGAAGTAAGCTGCCCATGGCTCATCTCTAGGATTTAACAGCTGGACAGAGCCTGAGCCCGCACTTGAGTTCTGGAGTTGGGCAGACCTGGCTGTGAACCCAGCTCAGTCACTTCCCATCAGTATGGCTTGAGCAAGCCATCCTCCCTGAGCTTTTAGCTGCCTCATTTGCGAAGTCGGAGAATGGAGTAGTTATAATATTTACCTGGACTTTTAAAAAATTATAAACTACCTATTAATATAATGCTAGACATATAATAAGCACTCAATAAAACGTTGCTATATCTAGCAGTAAAAAATTAATACTATTGGGGGATGCCTGGGTGGTTCAGTCAGTTAAGTTTAAGTGGCTGCCTTCGGATCAGGTCATGATTCCAGGTCCTGGGACCAAGTCCCACATGGGGCTCCTTGCTCAGTGGGTAGCCTGCTTCTCCCTCTGCCTGCTGCTCCCCCTGCTTGTGTTCACACTCTCTCTGACAAATAAATAAAATATTAAAAAATTAATATTATTAATATTAGTATTATTGCTATTATTATTATTACTCTTGATATTCATGCTGTGATCACTATTCTGTAGGCCCTGGCAGGAACAAAAGGCTGGTCAGTTACCTTTATTGGTGGTTGGGCCGGGGCGAGGGGGTGGGGGCGGGCGGTGCCAGGAACATCACCAACCAGTGCAAGGAGACCTGCAGTCTGTACACCACAGTTTGTCTGTCTGACACAGTTTAGACAATGTCAACAAGTTGCCTGCCCCCTGCATGACATGCCTTCCCTTCCTGCAAATAAAGTGAACCAGAGCCTAACTTGACTTACATCAGAAAGTGATAAAATATGTGCGAAAAAAACCTTTCATGGCTAAAAAATAAAGGTTCACTAGAGGAAGAGTGATATAGAGGAACTGAACAGTCCCGGACTCTTTTCTAGATTCTTCTGCGTGCTAGGCATCAGATGCTGTGCAAATTACGGAATCTCTCCAAACCTCAGACTGCTTATCTGATAATTGTAGATCATATTAACTAACTCACTGTTCTATAATAGAAGAGCATCTAACAGGATGGTGTGGCTTGAGGTAGGCTATCAATAACTCTTAGGCCCCTGCCCCACAAAAAGATATAATAAAATGCTTCATTAAGAGGAGACTAAGTGAAATCTGTGGCTTCTAACATTTTTTATGTGAAAGTATTTCAAACACATTTTATATTTTGGCAGAGGTCTTTACTTTTTCTATGAATTTATGCTGAAGGCACAGCACATTTATAAGTGAGTTATGTGGCATATTATTTTTAGGCTGGAGAGACAAACATTCTTTTGTGTCCTGACATTTGACTGGTTACACTAAATGGAACACTGTATCTTTTATTAAATTCAGGGTGCCTAGTGAAACATCATCAAATATAGTCCATGGGGGAAAACTCTAATATTTGAAAAGTCAGGGTCTAGTTAATAATATTAGATTTGGGTAAATGGATTCACATACGTCTATAAACAGGTATCTGTATCTATTTATCTCTTTAAGGATCGATCTATCTAGGGCGCCTGAGTGGCTCAGATGGTTAAGTGACTGCCTTCGGCTCAGGTCATGATCCCGGCGTCCTGGGATCGAGTCCCACATCGGGCTCCCTGCTCCTTGGGAGCCTGCTTCTCCTCTGCCTCTCTCTCTCTGTCTCTCATGAATTAAAAAAAAAAAAAAAAAGGATCGATCTATCTATAAAATGCTTCCATTTCTGATTTAAAATATAAAGCCAAACGCTAAAGTCAATATTACCATGTATTGGCACAAAAAAAGCTTTCCACAAGAATCATTCCTGTTTTTATATCTCTTTACATAGCCATAAAGTCAATTTCAGCATGCAGGTTGGCTTTCAAAACATCTCCTTTGAAATCTATGTCAGTGTGTTGGATAAACAAACACTTACTGTAGGCACATCCGAACACCTCGATCCGCATTCCAATTCTGCCCCTGGGGTTCCACTCTAAAGGAATGAAGCGCAGGAATCGGGCTTTGATAGAAGGCTGGAGTTTATAGTACACAACACTGTCTGCATTTGCATTTCCTGGAAAGCCCTAAAAGAAAAGGGAAAGAGGGAAATCAATGCATCTGGAGAATATCTGTTTCACCCTGTGACCTAGAACATCAATGAACAATGTCTGACTTGCTTTTTTACTGAAAAAATGGCTACCTTCTTCAAGAAAATCCTATTACCAGTTACACAGTAATGTCCCTCCATCCACAGAAGGTACCATTGCCCAGGCTTTTCTTTATATTGAGAGTAGTTGAAATTCCACCTTCCCCATTAAGCCAGCTTTCAACCATGATACCGTCAATAAACTTTCTATAAAGCTCAGATTAAACTTAAAAGGTATTAACATTGTGAACAGCACCAAAAAAAATTGAGAAAATCTTCTTCCAGTATTCAAAAAGTAGGATCTGATTCAGCAAAGAAGTTGCCTGTATCACTGATGAATGATAAAACTTAGGACATGTTTCTGTTGTTTCATTTTCTCCCCTTATTAACATAAACAAAAGTATCTCCTGGGGCGCCTGGGTGGCTCAGTTGGTTAAGCGACTGCCTTCGGCTCGGGTCATGGTCCCGGGGTCCTGGGATCGAGTCCCATATCGGGCTCCCTGCTCAGCAGGAAGCCTGATTCTCCCTCTCCCACTCCCCCTGCTTGTGTTCCTGCTCTCGCTGTCTCTGTCTCTGTCAAATAAATAAATAAAATCTTTAAAAAAAAAAAAAAGTATCTCCCAACACTCCATTCAGAACACTCTGATAACAAACAGGCTGTTCAACTTCATGGCCCTGCCAGATACGCACATTAAGAATTGCTACATGTCGGGCGCCTGGGTGGCTCAGTTGGTCAAGCGACTGCCTTCGGCTCAGGTTATGATCCTGGAGTCCCTGGATCGAGTCCCGCATCGGGCTCCCTGCTCAGCGGGGAGTCTGCTTCTCCCTCTGACCCTCCCCCCTCTCATGTGCTCTCTCTCTCTCATTCTCTCTCTGTCAAATAATAAATAAAATCTTTAAAAAAAAAAAGGCTACATGTCAAAGTTATTTAATAAAACAATAACAAAACAAAAGCACCTGTATTAAAAAAATTAAGGGAAATTGGAAGCAATAATAATTTGGAAAGACCTATAATTAGACTTACAGACTCTAGAATTTGAAAGCTAGAAAGACCTTGAGAATGATGCTAAGGTAGCACAAAGTGCAGATAAGGAAATTAAAGTTCAGAAAGGTAGAAAATAGGGGCATCTGGGTGGTTCAGTTGGTTAAGCACCTGCCTTCAGCTCAGGTCCTGATCCCAGGACGCTGGGATCGAGCCCTGTGGGCTCCCTACTCAGCTGGAAGCCTGCTTCTCCCTCTCAAATAAATAAATTAAATCTTTAAAAAAAAAAAAAAAGGTAGAAAATAACATCCTGGTGTTTGTAAAACTGTTGTAAGGTGAGAGCAAGAGCTACCTTCCTTCCGCCATATCAGGGTGCATCTGCCTAACACATAGTTCACCTGCAAAATTCACATACTACAGCACCTAATATCGGGGCAGCTTTTATTTTCACCTTCATGACAAATGGTAAGGCTTCATATGTGAAAATGTTAGAGGGAAGCTGTTCGCAATAATTTATATTTTTTATTTCTTCTTCTCCTTCTCTGCTACCCATCCTCCCTTCCTCCTACTTCTTTTTCTCCCTCTCCTCTTCCCCCTTGTTTTTTTTTTTTTTTTTTCCTTCTGTAACAATCAGCATATGCCGGAACAAAAGAAGCAATCTATTCAGGCTCTTGGTAGGTCTGCTGACCATGACTGGGTCAGCGTATAAGGTCAACCTCATGTAGGTTGCACAAGACAAAGGCGAATATGTTAGTAATACCAATACACAGGGAATCTGCTCATGTACCTACTTTTCTTTCTAGTTCACAAATATCCCTTTACCAGCATTTACCAAAATATATTTTTTTAAATGTTTGGTGTTTCATAGTCAAATTAATTTGATTTGACTCTCCTTATCAATCGATTCTCTACCTCCTGCCACCACTTCACCAATACTCCATACACCCAGCTCTCAGGCTTAGGCACCACAAGCCTTCTGTGATGGCACCTCCAAATGATATCCAAAATCTGGGCATCTGTCTTCATCTCAGCTGTGACCACCCAGCTCCACAAAGCATTACCTCACCCGAACTATCTCAGTGACCTCCTCCTCACCTTTTTTGTTCTCCTGTTCCCTGTCACCATCCCCATCCACAGCCCTAATCTCTTCCCCTCTGAGCAGTCAGGAATATCTTTAAAGGTAAATCAAACCGTGTCACCCCCAACCCCATTGCTTCATTTGCCACAGAACAAAATCCAAGCTCCTTATCAAACACAGTCTTTGACAACACCCTCCATTATGCTTTCACCACACTGTACCCCCTGGAACAACCAAGCTCAGTCCTGCTTAGAGCTTTGCACCAGCTGTCCACACTACTCCGAAAGTTCTCTGCACAGCCAGCTCCTCTTGCCACTTCAGGCCTTGGTCAAAATGTTACCACCTAAGTCAAACCCTTTCTAATCACAGTTTCAAAAGCGGTGCACCTGGCATACCCCTGCATCTTACCTTCCTATTTTATTTCCTTCATATTACTCATTATTTGGGGTCTTCTTTTGTTTGATTATTGTTTGTTTGTTTATCCCACTAGGAGACTAGCTCCATTAAAGCAAGGACCTTCAGTCTTCTCCATTCACAGTACCTAGAACATGGCTTGGCTCCAAGTGGTTCACAGTAAAATATATGTCGGATGTGTACATTTGGGAAAGATTGGGCTTAAAAACAAAACAAAGTTCAACAGGTTCTCAATTACAGAACCTCTCAGCATGTCAAATGTGAATGTGCAAATGTGCACTGTATCTCCCATGACCGAGAGAGTTATCCAGTATGTTTTCAACTATTAGGTCCACATTCCTAGCTACTGCTTCCTACAACACAAATAGAATACTGTATAAACCCACAGATATTTTAACTCTAATAACCAGACCCATCTAGAAAGCCCCATTCTTCCCACTAGTCAAAATTTTTATACTCTGGGCACTGGGGGGGGTGTGTGTGTGTGTGTTGTGTGTGTGTGTGTGTATGTATTTACAGGCTCTCCAAACCAGGGTAATGTGCATCCAGGTTGAGGCCCTGGTCCATCAACATTCAATCCTAATCAGGCCCTCTTACACTTCAATTCTACTTTCCTGGGTGCCACGGGCAGGCTAATACAATTTTGATTTCCTTCAGTGAACAGCTGGGTGATGAATCGGATAACCCTCCAAAAGAACTCACATTTTTCCAACATTAATGTACAGTCACAGATTTAGATAGATGCCACTATGATGATCTCAACATCTTAAGGGATGAGGAGAAAGATGCAGAGTGGCAGCGGTAACAAACAGGTAAGTAGAATGGGGAGGTCTATGAATGGCAATCTTTCACATTTTACCTGATTGATTTATGAGTTATTTAGATTTTAAGAACATAAAGAAGAAATATAAGGTGCTTACCTTGTATATGTAATAAAAATATCTTGGCACATTCAAAATTTTAAGCAGTTTTTTCTTACAAAGGGCAAGGGAAATCGTGAGGTGGGAGGGTATGGGATTTTTAGCACATCCCCATCGTCTCTGGATTTTTAAAAATGAACATGTATTAATTTTACAATAATTAGTAAAATGAAGTAAGACGTAGACATAGGAAGTGTGTGTATACAGTGACAGAGTAGGCAGAACATTATTTCATAATGCTCTGAGTACCTTAAATAACTTTCTAGTATCAACGTCATTGGGGGAATATGCACCATTAATTAACTATGATTTAACTGAAGAGTAATATTTGTCTCGTCTTGCTCCCCATGTTGAAATTTTTTCAATACACAGGATAACAACAAAGATTTTGTTGTGGAATTCTGTATTTAATGGGTATTTTTTCATAATGTTAGTGAATGAGGCATGGGGTTGATGTTACATTACCTCATAAATTAAAAGTTCTAGGCATACTACCAGGTTTCAAATGTATTTCCTTTGCCTAAGAGGTATTTCTCAATTTGCTATGAGGATTTTTTTTCACACCATCACAATTCATAAAAGAACACACGGATTTAGGGGCGCCTGGGTGGCTCAGTTGATTAAGGGTCCAACTCTTGATTTTGGTTCAGGTCCTGATCTCAGAGTTGTGGGATCAAGCCCTGTGTCAGGCTCCACACTCGGTGTGGAATCTGCTTGGGACTCTCTCTCTCCCTCTCCTTTTGCCCCTCCCCCTGTTCATGCTTTCTAAATAAATAAATAAATAAATCTTTAAAAAAATAAAATAAAATTTAAAAAAAGAACACATGGATTTAAATTGCTCTTTTAAAAACATGTTTTTACTATATGGATGTTTGTCTTCCCTTTTATTATAGATTCTGAATTTTGGTGTCTGTCAGAATTAGATGAGGAGTTGTTTAAAAATGCAATTTCTAGATCCTGCGCCTCATGCACTAAATCTGTGAGTGGGGCCCTGGAATCTGCATTTCTAGTGCATACCAAGCCCATTTGTGCTGTTGGTCTTAAGCTGGCTTTGAAAATTTTTCTGGCTTGTGGATAAACCATGCTCTTTTCCCCTACCTACATTACTACAAAACTTTTCAGAGAAGGAAAAGATTTTTGGAGAAGGGTTCACCCAGGCTAACTTCCAAAGAGAGAAATAAGTAGCAAATATGTTCTGTGTTATCAATCTAAAGATCAGTGTGCAACTCTGTGTCTCAGCATCAGGTGCAGAAGAAATATATTATGTAACTGTAATACTTCCATCAACCCTATAAAGTAGTTATTTTTGTACCCACTTTAAAGCTGAGGATAATGAAAATTACAGAGATTGTGTGCCTAAAGCCACACAGCTAGGAAGTGGCAGAGTAAAGATTTAATCCCAGGCTTTTCTGACTCCATAGCACATAATTTAGCTAAGCTATCAGTAGGCCTCACTCTAACAGAACATGAAAGCAAACAACCCACCCTAGAGGAAGCTTGATATTTTGTTGGAGGCTTCCCCACCGCCTCCCCCACCCGCTGGC